AAAAAAAACTATGCTATGCAGAAAAATAAACTGAACAACTTTTGCCTCAGGTTCACATCGAAATTCTTCACCAAATTTAGAAAAGGAAAAAATAAAATTTAAAAATATTATTTTAATTTAATATTTTTTATTGTTTTTAATGTTTTTGGCCCGGCCGGGCAAGTGACCCCGCCCGGGCCACTCTGGTAGCCTAGGTATTTACCAAGAAGACCAAAGCGTTTAAACTTTAAACCACCAACCAGTACACGGCCCCAGCCTTGCAGGATTTATTTATTTATTTATTTATTTTTGACTGTTTTTCATTCGGGTCATTGAGATACTTGTTGGGATAGGATACAACCATATATCACTTGACCAACCAACAGCGATTCACTCCCCGATGACAATTAAGATAAGGAGGAGGAGGAGGAGGAGGAGACCATTGTCACGCCCATGTCACACAACAGAGAAGAGAAGGAATTTGTCCGCCGTCGCTTACTCCGAAAATTTTGCAGCTTGGGCCTACCAGACCACAATGGCTGGCAGTGCCTGCCAAAAATGAAAAAGAAACTTTAAAAAACTTCAAAAAAGTGCACTGCTGGCGATAAGGAAAAGCTTGGCATGCAGTGGAGCGCCTCCAGGCCCAGGTGTACGCACAGTGGTTTAAACCACCAGTACCTACCGTGTTTTTAGGCGTTAACGCGTAGGCTGAATCTGTGCGCCACACAGGTCCATATGCATTTGCGCCAGAAGGGGTCGAAGACCCCCTGAGTTACTGGTCCAGGTTTAACGTGAGGTTGGACGCTGAGTGTCTCCTTGGACCTGCTTAGGTCCCAAGCCAAACTGGACCGTCTGGTCTTCCAAGAACCCTATGCACCGCGGCTTGCATTCCAAGACCCCCATCTAGACAAAATTGTGTTCCACAACCCATATAGACAAACTGGTATATTCCAAGGTCCGCTCCAACTAGCTGGTGTTCCTAGGACCCATCTGGACCACAGCTTGTGGTGGTCCAAGACCCATCTGGACCACAGCTTGTGGTGGTCCAAGACACATCTGGACCAGCTTGTGGTGGTCCAAGACCCATCTGGACNATCTGGACCACAGCTTGTGGTGGTCCAAGACACATCTGGACCAGCTTGTGGTGGTCCAAGACCCATCTGGACCACAGCTTGTGGTGGTCCAAGACCCATCTGGACCACAGCGTGTGGTGTTCCTAGGACCCATCTGGACCACAGCTTGTGGTGGTCCAAGACCCATCTGGACCAGCTTGTATTCCAAGACCCGTATAGACAAGATTGTATTCGAAGGTGTTTTCAAACTGTATTCCAAGGTCCATCTGGACCGGATTGTTTTCTGAGGTCCATCTGGACCAGCTTCTGCTCAAAGACCTATCTCAACCAGCTTGCTTGCATTCTAAGACCCAAAAAAACCCTGTCAGACCAGATGGGTCTTGAAGAACAAGCTGGTCAAGATGGTGGACCTCAGAAAAAAAACAGACGGTTCCCAGACCCAATCTGGACCACCTTCGGTTTAAGGCTCATGTGCACCAGCTTGTGTTCCAAGGCCCTATTCTGGACCATCCCGTGTTCTCAAACCCCACTGGCAGACCTTGCTCTGGACCAGCTTGTATTCCAAGACCCAACCAAACCCTATCAGGTCAGGTTCCAAGCACCCTCATTGAAGCGACGTGGCTTCCAAGACCGACCCTCCTGCTCCACCTGGTAGAGTCGAAGACCATCCCAAAACCCCTTTGGACCAGCTTGTGTTCAACGACCCCTATGGATCAGCCCAGGTCCAGGCCCCTCATGGGAGCAGCTTGGCTTCCAAAACCCTCCTGCTCCACCAGCTTCTTGAGTTCCAAGACCGTACTGAAACCCTCATTGGACCAGATTGCGTTCCAAGGACCCAATGTGGACCACGTTGTGCTCCAAGACTAAGTCCTGGACTACCAGGTCGGGTGCTGTATAATGTACGCGGTATCAGTGGAGAGACACTCGACTCTCTACTCCTGTTATCTCACTAAGTGCGGAAGTGCACGAAACGACTGCATATAGGATTATCGCACCTCCAAAACTCACCCTTGCACGAGGAAGAGGAGGAATGAGCAACGGAACACCAGTCATTCGTCAAATACCGAGCTCGTCTTAACACCGCCGATCCAGACCTTTGTCGTCTTCCCACACGCCAGTCAATACGAACTTTATACTCTCCGTCTTGGCTCTTCCCTCCATTCCACCCATATGGCAACCTTCATGTTCCAGCTTCCGTCCATACACCTAGGTGTCAGTTGGGGCTGTACTGCGCTTGTATCTTCACCTAGGTGTCAGTTGCGATGGATTCAAGTCGATTCCCCTGCAATGAAGCATTCAGGCAATGTTATGAGGGCGGAGGAGGGAAGAGCAAACAAGATGAAATAATATCATTAGCAGGGTTGCATACCTGCCGACCGCCAACCCGGACCGCCGACCGTTTTGCAGCCGACCGTTTAGCAGCCAACCAGCAGGGCCGACCGGTCGGTGGTCTGCCGACCAGTCAGAAAACAGCCATCCACTGATTTTTTTTTTTTTTTTAATCTGAGTTGGGGCTGTACTGCGCTTGCTGAGTACAGCCCAAATCCACTGAGAAACTTTTGGGGATTGGGGCGGGT